AAAAAAAAAAAAAAAAAAGGATCTCTTAAAAACAGTCAGTTGGCCATGTAGTTGTCTTCTAAATTTCTTGGCATAGATGAATGAGTGCCTTCAGTGCACCTTGGACTTCTTCCTTTTGTATTATTGGCTCTTGATCATATGCTAACTCTTGAAATGGTTGAATGTGGACCATTTCTTTTTGGTACAGTGACTCTGTATTCCTTCCATCTTTGTTTTTTGTTTTTTTTCTGGATGTGAAAATTCATTATCATTACATTTTCAACATCGTAACTTAAGATCTTGGCCTTTCCTTCTTGCTTTTGTTTAAGGCCAAAAGAGAGACGAGACATTGGCTACTTTGACAACCTTAAAGTGGACTCCAATAATGTCACCAACAGCATGACCTTGGCGACCAAATCCAGCAACTAGAATTTAATCATTTTCTTAAAAACTCAACCATCATTGGGTACAACGGCTGTGATTTTCTTTCCATTCTTGATCATCTGGACCCTGACACACTTCCTAATGGCAGAATTTGGCTGTTTCACTTCAACACCCACTTTTTCCTGGGAAGCTTCTCCAAAGGGCTGGCTTTCCAAGTAGTGCCCAAATGGGCTTTTTTCTACTGTTTTTCATGCCATTTCTGGCCCCATTGGTGACTACAGAACCTTCGTGGCAATACGAAGACCTCGACACTTGCCCATGTTAGCAATGCCACAACACTATGCAAAAAGAGCCCATCTTCTTTTGAGGCTTTCTACATCAATCCGTATTTTGCCCATAGAATCCTTCAATATTGCACGTCCAGGCTTGAGTTTTTTCTTCAGTTCCCTCAGCTTGAGAAATGCTGAGTGTGTTCTTCCCTTTTGGTTTTCTAATTCCAGGTCTTTGCACCTTTTGTTACCATATTTGACTTTTTACTTGAGCTAACCTTTGAAATTTTCTGTTCAGCTCTTTTACCTCTTCATTTCTTTCATTTGCTTTAGCACTTACACTGGAGAGCAAGTCTCAGAGTCTTTTCTGGAATCCATTTTGGTATTTTCCTTCTTTCTTGTCTTTTAATGACCTTTATTTCTTTGTTCCTGTGTGATATTTGGTCTTTGGTCTTTAGTGTCTGATGTATCAAATCTGTTTTTCAGCGGTCTCTAAATTCAGGTGAGATATTTGCAAAGTGATATTTTGTCTCTTGTGGACTTGTTTTAATTTTCTTCAGCTTCAGTTTTAATTTGCATATGAGCAGTTGATGGTTTGTTCCATAGTCTGCCCCTGGCCTTGTTTTGGCTGATATGGAGCTTTTCCACCATCTTTTTCCACAGATGTAGTCAATTTGATTTCTGTATATTCCATCTCATGAGGTCCATGTGTACAGTTGTCCTGTATGTTGTTTAAAAAAGGTATTTGAAATGAAGAAGTCATTGGTCTTACAAAATTCTGTCATGTGATCTCCAACATCTCTATCACAAAGGCCATATTTTCCAACTACTGATCCTTCGTTTCCAACATGTGCATTTCAATCGCCAGTAATTATCAATACATCTTGATTGCTGCATGTTTGATCAATTTCAGACTGAAGAGGTTGGTAGAATTTTTCTATTTTATCAACACTGGTTTTAGTGGTGGGTGCATAAATTTGAATAATAATAATACTAACTGATCTTCCCTCTAGATGTATGGATATTATATCACAAACAACTTTGTACTCATGACAGATCTGTTTATGTTATTTTAATTATGAATGCAACAGCATTCTCCTTTGTCATTCCCAGCATTCCCAGTAAGCCAAGTGATTGTCAGACTCATAATGGCCAATAGCAGTCCATTTCAGCTCAGTAATAAAGCCTAGTATATCGAGGTTTATGTGTTCCATTTCATTTTTTACTATTTCCAATTTTTCTGGATTCATAATTTCTGCATTCAATGTTCCAATTATTAATGGCTGTTTACAGCTGTTTCTCTTCATTTTAAGTTGTGCTCCATCAACAAGTAAAAGGTCCCAACAGCTTTATTCCATTCATGTCATCACAGTCAAGGCCACTTTGAGGCGGCAGCCCTTCCCCATTCTTATTTTGAGTGCCTTCCCACCTGAGGGGCTCATCTTCCAGCACTATATCTGACAGTATTCTGGTGCTCTTCTTCAGATTTCATTATTTGATATTCTGGTGCTGACAGTGCTCCATTGCTTATTCATAAGGTTTTCAGTGACTAAATATTTGAAAGTAGTCTCTGTGTACGTCCTAGTCTGTTGTCGTCTGGAAGCTTAGCTGAAACCTGTCTACCGTGGGTGATCTTGCTGGTGTTTAAAATACCGGTCACATAGCTTCCACAATCACAGTACCACACATGTCACCACAGGACAATAATCACAGACAAGTGGTGATACATACCTGCCATCTGGAGGGAGTTGTTGGGCCACCCGTGGGGCAGGTCTCACTGGCTATACCCAATGCTTTTCCACGTCACCCAAGTTAACATGTGTCCACCCTGTGTCCTGTGACTAATTCTCCCTGATCCCACCCCTGGTAAATGTCATAGAATGATTTTTTTAGTGTGAAAACCTCTCCTTGACTTTTTGAAGTGTTGGTCTCATGCAGTACTTGTCCTTTTGTGATTGACTTATTTTGCTCATCATAGTGTTCTCTAGGTTCATCTGTGTTATGAGGGGTTTCACACAGCCATTGTTATTATTTAACGTTGCATACTATCCCACTGTTTATGTACCAAAGTTTGTTTACCTTCTATTGATGGGCATTTAGGCTCTCCATTTTTTTGTTATTGTGAATAGTGCTACCAGGAGCATGTGTGTGCATATAGCTATTCACGTCATGGTGTTTATTTTAATGATTTATAGTCTCCGGAGCAGAGAGGAAGAAAGAATTTCTAAACCTGGATCTATCTCAACTCCTGTAAAGCATGGAGATGACCACACACCGAAAGTAGTGGAAGAAGCTGTAGTTGAGAGAATTGAAAAACAAGCACCCACTCTTCCAGGTAATCATGTTCAAAAAACATTTGCTATCAGACCAGAGTAAATTTCAGAATTTACAAATGATACTGTTGCCCATGTAAAGTTTTCTGTGTTTAACTTATAGCATTTTCCTTACGGGTAGATTGCTGGCATGGATCAGTAGACTTTTTATAAATGTTTTTCTTTATTTTAAAGATAGTATTATTGATAGCTTAGTGGTTGTTGTTGTTGTTAAGTGCTGTTGAATCCGTTCTGACTCATAGTAACCCTGTGTAGCATTTCCTAGGAGCAGCTGGTAGGTTTGAACTGCTGGCTTTGTGGTTCACAGTCCAGTGCTGATCCTACATTGCCAGGAATGTAGATATTTTAATTAAATTTTGCCAGAGTGAAGAAATAAATTTGCCTAGCAGAAGCATATAGGAGTTGTTTCCTATATTAATAAAGATTCCAGAATTACCTGAAAAACTGTAGTATAATAAATAAATACATTACTTGGTGTGGTGCTGTGGGTTAATGCACCAGACTGCAAAACTGTTTGAACTGCAAGGTTGGCAGTTCAAGCTCACCAGCTTCTCCTTGGAAACCCTATACAGGGTCGCTATGGGTCAGAACTGACTCAACGGCACTTAACAACAACAACTTATATTTCTCAGAAATTAAATTATTTGCTGATGAATCTTACATATACTTTGTAATCCTTTTGTAGTTTGCTTATTTTAGTCGTTACTTACATTATCATTCCTCTTTTTGTAAAGTAAGTTCTGCAGAATTTAAAGTTTTGTTTTTTCTCTTAGAACCAAAGCCTGTATATGCTCAAGTTGGACAACCAGATGTGGATTTACCTGTCAGTCCATCTGATGGTGTCCTACCTAATTCAACTCATGAAGATGGGATTCTTCGGTAATACAGTTTTAAATTTTGTTGTCTTCTTTGTATGCCACTAAGCATAATTTGCATTGAGTATTGTAAACCAAAGGAGCTCTGGTAGTGTAGTGGCTACGAATTGGGCTGTGAACCTCAAGGTCAGAAGTTCAAAACTACCAGCTTCTCCGTGGGAGAAAGATGAGGCTTTCTGCTCCCTGTAAAGATTTATAGCCTCGAAAACCCTGTGCAGGGTCGCTATGGGTCGGAACCGACTCGACAGCACATAACAACAACATTGTAAACCATACTGCATATTTTTTTTCTATAATGTATACTGCTTACTACTTTGATAGATGGTGGTGATTATGTGCTGTGGAGTTGTTTCTGACTCATAGCAACCCTGTATAGAGTTTCTGAGGCTATAAATCTTTACAGGAGCAGAAAGCCTCATCTTTATCCTGCAGGAACCACTGGAACTTTCGGACCACTGACTGTGAGATTAGCAGCCTGACTTGTAACCACTACGCTACCAGAGTTGAGATCATTTTTTTTTTTTTTTTTTAATTTAAGAATTTCGTATTCACATGCTAGAGATTAGATAAAAACAAAGAAACTTTTTGGGTGTTTAGTTCTTTCTCATCACTTTATACCTGTCTCCTGCCTAGTATTTAGGTTACGAGTTACAAAAAATAGTTTTTTTCCTTTCTAGACATCAGAATTAAAACAAGCTGTCTAATCCAAGCTTTTTTTTTAAAGGAAAAAAACCCTGTTAGCTCAGGGTTTCTCCACTTCAGAACTGTTGACATTGTGAGCCAGATAATTGTTGTTGGAGTGCTGTCTTGTATAATATCCATGTTTACTCTAACAGCATCTCCCTTTTATGTGCCAGTTGCACACCCAGTTGTGACAACAAGAATGTCTCCAGACATTGCCAGATGGTTTACTGCTATAGATTAGGTAGCAACTGAAAATTAAGTTTAATTTTTTATTTACCATTTCTTCTCCTCTTCTCCTAGTAACCATCAAAAATTTGTGTGTGTGTGTGTGTGAAAACTTCGGTTTATAATAATGATCTCATATAATAATTGTCCTTTATAACTGGCTAAATTCACTTAGCGTAATGTCCTCCAGGTTTATCAAAAGTAAGTTTTTAATATTCATATATATGCCTTTGTACTTTATGTTACCCTTTGTGGAATTGAGATGTGAAATTTATAACCAGGGTCCAGAAGAGTAAACAAGAAAGAATTAAAGATGTGGGCAGGATTTGTAGCTAAGCCAGAAAGGTTTGGTTCACATGCACTGAATGGATTTGAAGCAGAAGCAGGGAGCCTACCTTTAGCTGTTGGAAGTAGTGTGTAATGCAGATATAGAGCAAAGTAGAAAATATTTATCATTTTCTTGAGATTTTCCCTGAAACTGTCCCCTAACAATGGTTTTTTAAAGCCAAATTTTACTAAAGAGTGCAGACAGGACTATATTTTTGAGGCATACCACCTGTGGCAGAAATGGGCTTTCCATGACCTGGAGTCTTAAGAATTTTGAGGAAATGTTACAAAAGACTATTTGTAAGTTAGTTTAGGAGAAGAGTCTGTGAGAAGGTGGATAAGTAGGGCACCACCACACCCTCTGTGGCAAAGCTGGCAGATTGCTTTAAGGAGGGACCAGGGGAGCCACAGCCTTGACCTATGGCCTGTTGCTTTAATGCTGAGCTAATGTTGCCTCCAGGTCAGGAGACAAGATCACTTTAACCTTTTAAAAGCTAAGGTAGTCTTTAGCAAGTTGGCTAAAAAAAAAATCAAAATTTTGATTTGATTTGTGTGGGGTTTTTTCCTGTTAGTTTTTGATAATTTGCTAATTATGATTCAGTGAATTAAGAGGAAAGGGACCTTTTTTTGCACCTCATGCCTAAATATTTATGCATTAGTTATGTTTTCTTGGCCAGAATAGCAAGACAGTTATAAAAGCCTAAAAGGAAATTGCAAAGGATAATTTGTAATTACAGTCTGTCTGCCCAGCCATTCTTCTGAAGCATTTGCTGTAGGAGCTTACCACGATTCAGCAGTCTCTGCCAGTGAGGAATGTGCATGTGTTTGATTCCTTCCCATTTCTCTCTTGAGAAAAGGAGCAAAGTTCAGACTTGAGGCTGGTACTGGAAGGTTGAGTAAATGGACAAGACTGGTCTAAGAAAATTTGACTTAACTGTAGGCTATGGAACCAGGGTACAGGCATTTGAAAGGGTTTTAGCAACTGATTTGAAATGCAAATTTAACAAAAAGTAATTTTTTTTTTTCTGTGTTAACCCAAACACAAAATTATTATAAGAACTTTCTTTTAAAAGTCAAAGGGGCAACAGAGTCAGTGATCTGTGCAAACTACTAAAGAATTCACAAAACCTGTTCAAATTTAAAAACCTGTTGGTAGTGGTTACAGAGTGCTTGGAGTCTGGTTTTGACTGCCTTGTATTAGGAAAGTCAGGCAATATATGGCAATATATTTCTACGTTTGTAAAATGGGACTTTCAGCATCCAATAGAGGTGATACTGGGTTGAACTGGAATGGGAAAAGTTAATGATTAGCCATTTTGAATACTGTATCAGCGTATGTCAAAAAATATTGCTATAAAATCATAGAAACCTTCATTTAAAATGTTAAAATGTAAAGCTATTATTTCATAACTTATCCTCTATTTAGGTCTAAACAAAATTTTAAAGGAGGTATTTCTATATTTCTACCCTTTTCCCCAAAGAATTATACACTTCAATTTGCCCCACATCAAAACAGACTATGAAAGTGTGTTCTTTTGAAGATCAGGGCTGTATAGGGTGAATGGGGTAAGGTTTGTCAACAAAATCCTTGTAGAAACAGCCCTTACTATCCTTGAAACAATTGTCCTGATGGAAAAAATTCCTTGGTATAACTTTGCTGACCTTTGTCTCACAATATAGTTTCAGGTTTCTTAAAACTTGTTCATAATGTTATTGTTGAGTGACGTCGAGTCGGTTCGGACTCATATGGACCCTGTACAGGTTTTCCAAGGAGTGACTGACTGGTGGGTTTGAACTGCCAACCCTGTAGTTAACAGTATAGCACAATACCAGGATTCCCTCTTAATAAGCTCTGTGTCCATCTAGAAAGTGTATCCCAGTTACCCTTTGAAAGTACAAAAACCAGTTTGAGTAATCTTCCGAACTGACCTTTGTAATTTGAATTTGACTGACTTTAGCAGATTTCATAAGAAGCCACTGTTTTTATTGGCCTTTTTTGTTTTATTAATGCACCCTAAGATTCTAAGACAGTTATGTTCTTGAAAGATTATCTGTGACCCCTCTTTTGCAGAGACATATTTAAACATGTTTTATTTGTAATCTGTGCACGTTTGAACTGGTTCTTTAGTGGCAATGCTTGATGACTTACCCTGGTGCATCCACATCTCTTACAGTTGGGAAAACATAAAGTGATTTTATAAAGTAGTTTTGTGAAGCAATGCTTTAAAATATCTGTTTTACTTAGATATCCCAAATCTAAATTTATTCATTAGAAAATAAAAGAATGTACAGTTTTGAACTCTTTAACACTTTATTGAGCTTTATTGAGTAAATTAGTGGTGATGTGTGGGAAATTTTGTTGATGATGGTCTTTTATTCCATTGTAGAAGTATGCTGTAACTTTTTGAGCCTCTTTATTTTAATAGGCCCAGCATGAAATTGGTCAAATTCAGAAAAGGAGACAGTGTGGGTTTGCGGCTGGCTGGTGGAAATGATGTCGGAATATTTGTAGCTGGTGTTCTGGAAGATAGCCCTGCAGCCAAAGAAGGCTTAGAAGAAGGGGATCAAATTCTCAGGGTATGTCAGCATATTAACTGAACTCAGAGGTCAATGCAAAGGCACCAATCACAACAAATCTATTGTAATTAGATTGTGTTATTTATTGTAATTAGAGACTGTGTCACAGTCTCTTGAGCCAACGAATTCAGATTAAAGATCCATCAGGTCTTGTTTGTGTTGGACTTGCTACTTTCCATTCCTACATTTACTGTTGTGGACTGCTCTGAATTGTGTTATTACCACAGTATGTTGCTTTGGTTTCAGTTTAGCTATTGGTATTCATCAAACCTATGAAAATCTTTTTATTGTAGTTAAATGCTGTTGAGTTGGCGACCCTGTGTAGCGTTTCTGAGGGGCAGCTAGTGAGTTTCACACTGCCAACTTTGCAGTTAACAATCTAGTGGTTGTCCTGCACAGTGCCACACCAGGACCCCTCTAATAACCACCCATGAAACTAAGTCTTAGATCCCTGTAGTAGCCAGCTGGTCTTTTTTTTTTAGTTCAGTTGCAGTTCAGATTGGCCACAGTGCCATGGTCTACAGGTGTCAGTAGGACATCATGTGTTCCTCTCCTACAAGAGAAGCCTTTACAACAGTCCACAGACCTCTGGGACCTTCTTAACCCATGTTGACAACTAAGGGGCAAGAAGGAGAGCTTTATTTCACGCAAGGTACCCTGACTTTTCCAAGCTTCATACCCTATCAGAAGCAGGCCAGGTTACAAGAGTCACTTCACACAGGGAAGTTTGGTTTCGTTGCAGTCTGCTACTGAAATCTTTTTTGGTTATAAGCAGTAATGCATAGTAAGAGAGTACCATTTTTACCTGTTATTTCTCTTCTAAAATATCTGAACCACTATGTAATTTCTGGCAATAGAAACTCCTGTTTTAACCATAACATTAGATATATTGGATTTATTAAATAGGAGTTTTCACATTTGGTCTCCCTCTCCACCTGCAAGTATCTTTGCCTGTTCTCTCTCTGCATTCAGCTTACTTCCTGCACATGTCCTGGATTCATTCCCGTATCTGCTCCAGAATCTTGCTGCTTTTGTCCATTGTTCTCTCCTGCCCTCTCCTCTAGCTCTTCAGCTGCCTTGCATTCTTACTGCTCTCCATTTGCTGTTCAGCTTATTGAAAATGGGGTTAAGTTCCTTTTTGCTTTCTTTTCTGACTTCCACCTTATATGTTACTGAATCTCACCTGCTATCAGCCTCAGCCTCAGCCTCACTATCCTTTGTTTCTCAGCAGGGTTTTTGACCATCATAAATAATCCGTGAAGTGCTTTCATCCTTGAATTCCATAGCTTCCATACTCCTCCAGTTTTCTGTCTTCTTTACTAAAACATGGGAAATAAAATAGCTCCTTGTTTCTCTTCCTATACTACCTCCATGTCAGACTTGATCTGAGTTTTTTCCTGAGCACCCTCAGATAACGCCAGCCTTCCTGTCTGCATTTTCATTGTTCCTCTTCCTTTTTCTCTCAAATTTAACTTGTAAAAAAGTAAGCATATCTTTCTGTCTTACTGGTTTTCATTTCCATTTTATTGTGATTTCTTCTGATGATACTTAATATTTCACTCAATCCAGTTGTGTCAGAATCATTTGAATGATTAGCTTGTATTGTAATGTTCACCATATCAAGGAAATTAAATAGGTTTATTCCCTGGTGTGTTGTAGGATAATCACTGAACTGCTGCTCACAAGGTCAGCAGGAGCTCAGGTAGCATAGTGGTTACGAATTGGGCTGCAAACCTCAAGGTTAGCAGTTTGAAACTACCAGCTTTCCACAGGGGAAAGATGAGACTTTCTGCTCCTGTAAAGATTTACAGCCTCGGAAACCCTGTACAGGGTCTCTATGAGTCAGAACCAACTCCACGGCACGTAACAACGACAACAACAGCAGCAGCCTCTCTTGAAAACCTGTACAGGGACCCTAAGAGTCGGAATTAACAGTGTACAACACAACATTCTTTTACTTGTGTGGTGCAGTATAAGCACTGGACTGTTAATCACAAGGTCAAAGCCACTAGCTGCTCCTTGGAAACTCTATACACAGTAACTATAAGTCAGAACTGACTCAACAGAACTTAAAAATAACATTTTCTTATTTAGCTGCTAAATTTAAGTTTGTGGTTCAAACCCACCTGCCGCTTTGCGGGACAAAGGTGAGACAGTCTGATTCCATAAAGATTTATAGTCTTGGAAACCCTATGGGACAATTCTAGAACATTCTCCTCTGTCCTATAGGGTTACCATAAGTTGGAATCAACTCATTGGCAGTGGATAGGGTGAGGTTCTCTTATTAGTCACTAGATGGTGCAAACAGTTAACATGCTCAGGTACTAACTGAAACGTTGATTGTTCAGTTCCATCCAGAGATGCCTTGGAACAAAGGTAAAAAAAAACAGCCATTGAAAACCCTATAGAACACAGTTCCACTCTAATCCACATGAGGTTGCCCTGAGTCTGAGGCAACTCAGCAGCAACTGGTTCTTCTGTTATTAATTGGGGAATACGTTGTTTTAAAATATTTCATAATGCTTTAATTTCTTGCTATGAAAGTAGTGCGTGCTGATTTTTTTGTTTAATGTGGGAATTTTCTGAAAGGTAACATGGAAAAAGAAAATCAATCTGTAATAGAGCTCAGTCACCAGTGACATACTAATATGTTTCCTTTAGGGACTTTGGCATTACTAATACAGAGAAGTATTGACTCCACACACATTGAGCCTACATTCCATAGATGTGTTACAGGGAAGCCTTAATGCCTACTGGATCCTTTTTTATAATTCTTGCTTCCCGTTGGCTTCCTTTTCAGAGACTGATAAAAGACCAATGAAAGACACTAGGGACTCTATTGTACATTGATATAAATTTATCATTTCAGATTTAAAATTCGAGATTTTGCCATAATAATAAATATTTGGAATTAGAAATAAGTCTTTTCTGGCCTCAGTTAGATTTTGCAATGGGTGATCTTTAATGCCAGGATAAATTGTGAATATTCTCTTAAATAAATTTATACTTTGTTGTTGTTGTTAAGTGCTGTCACGTCGGTTTCGACCCATAGCGACCCTGTACAGGGTTTCCGAGGGTGTAAATATTTACGGGAGTAGAAATCCTGATCTTTCTCCCGCGGAGCAGCTGGTAGTTTCGAACCGCTGACCTTAAGGTTCGCAGCCCGATTTGTAACCACTACGCTACCAGACTGTCTTACATATGCTATATTTAGTTTCTTCTCAATTTAGAGTATATTTGTTTCTCCAATGTAAAGTTTATTATTGCCCTTTTAAAATATGTGATATTTTCAAATAAGGTAAACCAGTTGTTTTCGAGTTAACTCTGACTCATGGCAACCCTGTGTGTGTCACAGTAGAACTGTGTTCCATAGGGTTTTCAATGACTGCTTTTTCAAAGGTAGATCACCAGGCCTTTTTCTGAGGCACTTTTGGGTGTATTTGAACCATTAACCTTCAGTTTAGCAGCAAGCACATTAACCATTTGCACTGCCAAACCTTGAGAATATCAGTTCCGTTGTAGGTTAATAGTTTTATAGTCTTTAAACACAGCTGAGAGTAATTTAAGAAATCTATTTTAATAGGTAAACAATGTAGATTTCACAAATATCATAAGAGAAGAAGCTGTTCTTTTCCTGCTCGACCTCCCTAAAGGAGAAGAAGTGACCATATTGGCTCAGAAGAAGAAGGATGGTGAGATAAATGTCAGAAATGGAGAAAATGATCACTCTATGTGGAAATGGATCTGTTTATCTTAGAGTTCTTTTTTTAGGCGTGGGGCACACATTTTATACTGTGTTCATTAGCTGAACATATTAATAGGGACCAGTTTTTAACTAAATTAGAATAGTTAAATGTTATCCCACCCTTTACAAGTCATTAAAAAAAAATCCTATTTGTTAGCCATCAGAACCGTATATGAGCTTCAAATTCTGTATTGTTGTTTTCTGGGTAGTATGCTCAGATATTTGCTATCATTAATTCAAGAGAATGACTGATTGTCTCCATGATAAAGCAGGGATGCTGTGTATTTAGAACAGAAGTTCTCAACAGTGACATCATTGACATTTTGGGTCCAGTAATCCTGTTTTGGGAAGTGCATTGACTCCGTACAGTAAGCACTGGACTGTGAACCACAAGGACTTAGAGTCAAGTCCACCAGCTTGTCCCAGGGAAAAAATGAGGCTTTCTAGAGCTCTAGTAGTGTAGTGGTTACGAATCTGGCTGTGAACATTAAGGTCAGCAGTTCGAAACTACCAGCTGCTCCGCAGGGGAAAGATGAGGCTTTCTGCTCCCATAATGACATACAGCCTCAGAAACCCTGTGCAGGGTTGCTGTAAGCTGGAACCAACTCCATGACACATAACCACCACCACCACTCCCTCAAAAATGTAAAGCCTTAGAAACCCTATACAGTGTCGCTATGAATTGGAACTGACTCCACATTACTTAACAACAACAATTCTCCATAGAGTGTTGGCAGCATCCCTGGCCTGTATTGGTTGGGTCCCAGTAGCACACACCTGACCCTAACCCACTTACTTCCCCTCCTCACTCCACAACCTCACATTGTGACAGTCTCTTGTTGTAGTTAAATGCTGTCGTGTGGGTTCCAACTCATAGTGACCCTCTGTAGTATTTCCAAGAAGTGGCTAGTGGGTTTAAACTGCCAATCTTGGAGTTCAATGCATATTCTACAATGCCACATGAGGCTGTGGAGTCTCTATGTATTGTTAAATGTCCACTGGAGTGGTGTGGAGATAGGTGATGGGTAAAATTGCCCCATTTGATGTCACTGATTTAGAAAATGGAAATGCCCATAGCATATGCAGCTAAATTAAATTAAGTAATTGAAGTAGGAAGTGGGTGTGTGTCTTTAGGCCGATCTGTTTCTGCATTGCTTTCTTCTTCTGCACAAAGAAAATGCTAAAAGTTCCCATTTTGTAAGGTAATAAGTAATGAGTAAATACAATAAAATACTTAGTATAATACCTGACTAATGTTTTTGTTGTTAATGCAAACAGCATTTAATGTATTATCTTTTAATGTATTATCATTTAATGTATTATCTTCAGATTAATTTATTACACTAGCTGTTGATAATCTGTTTTGATTCCTTTTAGTTTATCGTCGCATTGTGGAATCGGATGTAGGAGATTCTTTTTATATTAGAACACATTTTGAATATGAAAAGGAATCTCCCTATGGACTTAGTTTTAACAAAGGAGAGGTGTTCCGTGTTGTGGATACCTTGTACAATGGAAAACTGGGCTCCTGGCTTGCTATACGAATTGGCAAAAATCATAAAGAGGTAGAACGAGGCATCATCCCTAATAAAAACAGGTATGAATGCTTGGATACTTGTCATTGAATGAAGAAATTAACAATGATAGAAGATTACAGTCCCACTGGGAAATCTGATAGTAAAAATAACTGGTTTTCATTGTATTTACCATATTATGGGTCGGAACTGACTCGATGGCACTTCACAACATCATCACTTGGTTGTACAAAGTCCTCTTTATGTTAACCATTAAGACTGAAAGGGCACTTAAACTTGTAGCCAAATTGTATCCAGTATTAAAAGAATTATTTCATTGTGAGTCTTTCCGCTTTGTTTTTTAAATAGGCTTACCCGGTTTTTTTTATCTTTCTTTATATAGAGCTGAGCAGTTAGCCAGTGTACAGTACACACTTCCAAAAACAGCAGGAGGAGACCGTGCTGACTTCTGGAGATTCCGAGGTCTTCGCAGCTCCAAGAGAAATCTTCGAAAAAGCAGAGAAGATTTGTCTGCCCAACCAGTTCAAACAAAGTTTCCAGCTTATGAAAGAGTTGTTCTTCGAGAAGGTAGTTTATTTTCTACCGAGTTTGGTAATAGCTTTTATATCAGCACGTTTAAGGGGGGAGAATGTGTGAAATATACTACTTGTCATTTGAATTCTTCCCCCACCCCTCCAGCTGGATTTCTGAGACCTGTAACCATCTTTGGGCCAATAGCTGATGTTGCCAGAGAAAAACTAGCCAGAGAAGAACCAGATATATATCAGATTGCAAGTAAGTAACCTTAAGACTGACTTAAGGTAGAGGGAATTTGTTATAGTTACTCCTTTAAAAGGTAGATCACTTAATTTAAAAAAAACTTGGTAACAAAAATTTACAGTTTGCCCTATGCATTTAATTTGGAGGGAAACGAGTGTGTCTTCATCTGCCAAAACCCTTTACTAATAAGAATCACCATTTATGAAACTTGGCTTACTGTGGGTATATATTATGATGTCCCTGTTAAAGATGAGCAAACTGAACAATGGTTGGTGATTATGGTTGGGATCACCACCAACTTCTTTCATCTAAGCTTTCCTTAATGACACCCAGCTAATAAGTGATAAAACTAGGATTTGAACCAAGCCCTATTGGCTTACTTCATTAAGCTGACAGTTGGAAATAATCAAATATGAAAAAGAAGTTAATAAAAACATTCCTTGTGCTACCACTTACTGTCATAACAGATATTTATAGTAAGTTGGCATTAAGTATAAAGATGGAGGGCTGTAGTGCTATTTATTCACATGGCAGATTATCTTGAATTGCAATATCACCCTAAAATGTACCCGATGCTATTTTTCTTAGTTTTTTTTAATACTGTTTAGAAAAGTTTATACCCTGCTTTCCTTCTTAATAGTTAATAGCATGTTTTTAGTTTATTATAATAATCTGTTCTGCAATTAATTTTCGATATGATTAGCCTCTTCATGTAGTTTCAAATTTATATTCCATGTTTACAAAGGATACAGAAACTGTTTTGTCTATGTTATGTTTTGTTTCCCAAAGAATATAAATCCTTACAAGTGTTACTTTGCCCGTATTTTCAATGCTTTCTTAAACTTGAATTCCTCAAAATAGGAAGAGAATGATATGTAAGATACAAACATTTCTCTAGCTGTTGATAGGTGTCGTTGGTACTTTTTTCCAAAGGGTTGTGCCACTTTTGTTGTAATTATTCCCACTGGCACTTTATGAGAGTATGGTGATGTAGGACAAGCACTGGACTGAACCACAAAGCCGGCAGTTCAGATCCCCCAGTCACTCCTCAGAAGGGGTTGCTGTGGGTTGGAACCAGCTCAACAGCAGTTAACAACAGTAGTCACGTTAACATTTTAAACCCTAAGTAATCTCAAGCTCACAATGGGGTTCTGTTTAAATAACTCTGTTCTAAGTTGCTTCTGACTTAAGTTTTCATTATTGTTGCCTGGTATCAGATCTTTATAAATCGTAACATTGAAAATCTGTAAATGAACATCTGAGACTAGCAGGCTAATTATGCAATATTTTGTGTGTGTGTGTATTACATAATAAAATAACATGTAGCACACACACAAAGTGACTGTAGTAAGTGCAGTTCATTATAACTTGAATATGTTAAAGTTGGAAATACCTACACAGGGTCGCTATGTGTCGGGACTTAACAACACTTAACAACAACAATCTAGTATTAATAAAAGTTCAAAATACCATCTTATTTTTGTATTGCTTTTTATTTGATTGCTGGTGACACTGAGAATATTTATTTCCTAAGAAATAGAACAATTAACAGTCAAATGATCACAAAATGTGAGCAGGTTAGAAAATGTTTATTTCAGTGTCTCTGTTCAGTTTGTTTCTTTTGTCAGAAGAAGCCCTTTTTGTAGATAACATTTTACCTAAAGAAGTTGATGGTGATCCTCCCCACCAGCCAACCAAACTTGCAGTTTTTATATTTAGGAAAAATTAATGTGAAGATTAGAAGCCTTGGTGTGGCCATGTAAGATAAGAACTGAACTGAAACTCTCAAGGTCAGCAGTTCAAATCTAACAGCTGCTCTTTGGGAACCCTATATAGGGTCATTATCAGTTGAAATGGACTCAGTGGCACTTAACACTTAAAAAGTTCCTCATTAAAATAATTGTAGTTGTTATTATTGTTAAGTGCTGTGGAGTCGTTTCTGACTCATAATAACCTTGTATGTATAGTTGTTGGTAAGTACCGTGCAGTGGGATCCAACTCACACTGACCCTGCAAAGGGTTTCCGAGGCTGTAAATCTTTACTGGAGCAGAAAGCCTCATCTTTCTCCTGCAGAATGGCTGGTAGTTTCAAACTGCCGACCTTGAGGTTAGCATCCCGATTCTTAACCACTATGCTACCAGGGCTCCTTATATAAATAGTAAGAATGGTTAATTGGGTTTACTCTTTTTTGTTTGTGTGTGTGAATTATGTGTTAGTTTGCATGGGAGAACATTAATTAGCTTTACATTCATCGTATCATATGTTGTTTCATTGCCATTATTACAATCCTCTCCAAGCATCATCAAGCAACCAAAGGGTGTACCCCACAAGCTTGCCCCTCGGTCGTCAGCATGCAGCCCCCTCTCCCTCTTTGGGTCTAGAGTCTCCAGCCACTCCATCTCTCCACATCATTGTCTCTGCCTCCATTTCTGGTGTCATTGTTTGTCATTGTGTGGGTAGGACCCCGCACTCCGCTCGCTTTTCTCCCTTGATGGTCCCCAGGGACCTCTGCTCCTGGACTGCAAAGTAACCACTTGCCTCCTTTTGCTACAAAATGTGTGCCTTTACATTTCCAACCCTTACAGTCAATTATTCTCTATTGTATCACAAGAAACCTAGCCCCATCTCCTTTCATCAGCCCTGCCCAGACAGATTGGATACTACTCAACGGAGATTCTACCTTCCTCCGAGCCCTCTGAATCTAGGTTCCCTCTTGAAAGCTTGTAAGCCAGTCACTTCTTGCCTTTGTAGGCCTCCCATTTTGGGTAGCCAATGTCCAAGTTGCCCATCCTTATCTACTCTGTGTATGGAGGGGATGGGAATGGTCCTCGCTATAGATTTGTTCCCTCTTTGGAGCTACTGCATCCATAGGTGTAGGTCAGATTCATCAAATTGTATCAGATTACTCTTTTTTTCCTCTTCTTTCTTCTTCTAGTCAAGTTCTGATCATCCAGCCATTTGAAGCCAGGTCAAGTGGGTACTATCAGGTCAAGTGCGTATGCCCCCTCTTCTTATCAGCTGGACGCTTCACTCTCCACTCTAGTCCTCTCTGGCCATGTCACTGTTTCTGAGGCCAGGAGTCCCCAGGTCTTGCCATACTACTGGTCAACCAGGTCTCCACCTGGGTTCACAGGAGAGTCTATTGAACGTGGTTGGACTTAGCTCTCAGCTTCATTGCTGTTTTTCCCTCACTTCCCCTTATCGGTGACAAACGTGGTCACCAGTCAGACCATATGTCTGCTCATGTATTCCCCTTGAGTCTTAGTCTTGGAAGGAGGTTTGCCCAGAGGAGACCTGACTGCTTGCCTTGATGTCTCCTGAGTGAGCAACTTGCTTGTTCTTGTAGTAATCAATTGGATTGCCATTACTGTTTTTCAGTTTTAATATCAGTCCCTCTTTCAAGAAGTATCTTCTGTTCTAGCCACTCTAGGCTGGTCTGCTTATCCTTTCAAGTGGAGATTTCCTACCTCAGAAGATTCTGGATGGGGTTCAGGATTTCACCTATGGTCTTATGCAATGCAGAAGGCTCCACAGGAAACCTGCTTCACTGGGCAATTTGTAGCCCCATTTTAGGTATTCCAATTAGTTATAGGCAGAAGACAGACTTATAAGCTTTCTATGGTGATGTTTCTGGCTATTCTTTTCTCTTCTCCTCAAGTGTCTATTTTACAGTGGTATGCAAGGGAAACCAAGATTCAAAAGACAGCCAAGCATCTTAACATTATTTCCCCTCTTTTACCCATTCAAACCATGCCTCAATCCCAGTATCCCAGAGCTTTGTTGTTCTAAGGTTGTGTATACATCATTATTTACCTCTTTCCCATACCTCTTAGCCCATGCAATCCTGTCTTGCTGTTCTCCCATCTGCCTTGTTCTTCCATTCCCCTCCCCTGTTCCCTAGTTGTCTGTGGTCCCCCTCCCCAGCATCCAAACTGTTGTTGTTAAGTGCCGTTGGATTAGATCCGACCAATAGCAACCCTGTATAGGGTTTCCGAGGAGCTGCTGATGAGTTTGAACCACCGACCTTGCAGTTCAAACGGCTTTGAAGTCTGGTGTATTAAACCCACATCGCCACATCAGTACTCCAGCACCCAAATTATCCTGTGTCTGTTCCCTACCCTGTGCTCCACCCTCCCCTCCCTCCACCCTCGTAACCAGCAAACAATTCCCCACCCCCACCCCTTTTAGTATGGGTTATTTTTCTTAGCCTTTTACAATAGCAGTCCTGTGCAGTGTTTCTCCTTTTGTGACTGACTAATTTCACTCAACATAATGTCCTCAAGGTTCGTACATGTTATGTGGTGGCTTACAGCTTCCTTGTTGTTCTTCAAGGTAGCATAATATTCCATAGTTCGTATGTTTTGGGTTTACGCTTTGAGGCAAGCTGTTATCAGAAGCATTCAGATAACTTCATTTCCTGTTCTCTTTGAGTCCAGTGAGAGACTTTTGAATTAGGAATTAATAACAAATTCTCAAACTTAAACATCCAATTGATCCATTCCTTATCTCTTCTTTGTCTAGCAGATGTGAGATTCTGCCCCCTTCTCTGTAGAGCTTTGTCTTAACAGTAGTCGGGTTCTCTGAAATCATTTTCCTGGTTCTTCAGTGTAATTTTGTATTCCGTATCTCTGCCTTCATTTAATTGGAACTTCAGAGCTTATCTAAGAATGAGAAACGTTTCTATGCCCTGTTAATGAAGAATTTCATGTCAGTTAGATCCCTGAGATTGACGACTGGAAATCAGCCTCATGCTTTCATTTGGCATATTACGTAACTGGGGGTGGGGGTAGTCAGAGAGTGACTGCAGTAGACTCACAGAGGCTGTGTCACAGTTACAAAGCTTTGGCATTTCTTGATGCTTCCAGGTTTCCTTTTATTGGTGTAGATATGATCAACTCCCAACCACTATGTTGTAGCACTGCTGCTGCTGAGGAGTGTGCCAAATTCTTAATTTCCTCAGTTCTCCTTGGCTGGATGGGCCTCTGGCCAGACCATATAATATTTTCATGTTTTTTTTTTCAAAATTGTAAGAAAGTTGGTAGACACTACCCTTGCTAAGCCATACTGAATCCTCGGTCAGGCAAAGGAGAAAATATATATCAATGTATGCATTTTTTTATGTATTGTTTACTGGCAAGTTTTTTTTTCTCCATAGTAGTACAGTAGCTTGGAATATTTTAAAAAATAAAAATATATTAAAACTCAAAGTGTTTTAAGTGTAAATATCTAATTTTAAACTCATAATTCGGTACAATTTTACTTTTCTGACTTGAATAGAAATAAAATTATCAGTATCTTAAAAATTACTTGTTTTATTTTCAGTTGAGAGAATTGACATATGACAGTTTCTCTTGACCACATGACAATCTTAAATAATTTTTCATCAAGCCCTCCTTCCTGATTTTTCTTTATTTAAAATTTCATTGTTTTCATCATATGTTATTGTGCATTAGTTTCAGTATTTTAAAAAAAGATACTGCATCAAAATACTGATTTTCTGGATTAGGTTTTTAGAGGGCCACCCCCCATAAATTTTGTACCTGAGGACAAATGCCTTACTTGCCTCCACCTAATCCCAGCCCCATTTCCCTTGGGAGACACAGATCTAACTCATTATACTCTTGTCAGGTGTTCTGCTCCCCACGGACACATTTGGTCATATCTGAAGACATTTTTGGTTGTCACTAATGTGGTGTGGCCCTGCAGGATAATGCACTGGACCATAGGTTGGTTTGAATCGCAAAGTCTGCAGTTCAAGCTCACCAGCCGCTCCTTGGAAACCCTATACAGGGGAAGTGGTGAGGCGAAAGGTGCTATTGAAAATTTAGTGGGGAAAGGTGAGGGATATTACTAACATCCTGCAGTGTGCACCAGTTGTGCATTGTTGAGGGACCTTAGTCTTTACCAATGTAAATGTGATGTTTTGTTTTTGTCCTGACTTCATGAATAGAAAGTGAACCACGTGATGCTGGAACTGACCAACGTAGCTCGGGCATTATTCGCCTTCATACAATAAAGCAAATAATTGATCAAGTAAGTTATGAACAATTAGTACATTGTAAGCTGGGAATGTTGTGTTTTTTTACTTGGGTTGGATTTGGTTAATGTAGAAGGAAGTCTTTCTGTGATTATTACTGGTATACTGTTAGGGGAGTACGGTGATTCTGTAGTGTAAATGCTACTATGAACCACAAAGTCTGTGGTTCCAGCTCATCCGCTGCTCAGTGGGAGAAACATGATGAAACTGTGCTCCCACAAAGATTTATGTCTGTGGAAACCCTATTTAGGGGCACACAATGAGTGGAAACTGACTTGATAACACTTTAACAGCAACAATGCAAGAAAATTAAGTCCTTACTGAAAGCCATTATGATAATCACTTCCAAAGGAACGTTAACACATGCATCAAAAGATCACAGCAAGTTAACATAGTGTGCAAATGTAATTAAACGACTGTGTTTGCATTGCATCAGTATAACTCAGGTTGCATTCTGATGGTTATATGCACAGAGAGTATGCTGTTGTCCTGTCAAGATCTTGTCAGGACGTTACATTACAGTGCTTAATGTATCAGACTGCAAAGTTGTTTGAACTGCAAGGTTGGTGCTTCAAGCTCACCAGCTGCTCCTTGGAAACCTATACAGGCTCGCTATGGGTCAGAATCGACTCACGTCAACAACAGCAGTTAGCTTACAGGAGTCCTGGTGTGTTGCTATAGGATAAGCATGGGAGTGCTAACTAAAAATTTGGTGCTTCAAAACCCCGTCACTCTTCAGAAACCCTGAGTCGGAACTAATTCAGTGATACTTAACAACATTTAGCTTATAAATATTGAGTCTAAGTTTGGTTAAGAAAACTAATTTTTTAAATATTGGGCTAGAAGTTGTATTGAGTTAATTTTAGATTATATATTTTTCAAAAATGTGATCCTGAAACATCAGAGGATATGTGAAATTTTCATTTACTAGTTTAATATTGTAGTATAGTCTTTGGCTTTTTTTCAAAGGTGATGGTTCTTTAAAGAATTAGCTATTTTATTATATCCTTATGTATATTGTTTTTTTTCTGTCTCCAGGACAAGCATGCTTTATTAGATGTAACACCAAATGCAGTTGATCGTTTGAATTACGCTCAATGGTATCCAATTGTTGTATTCCTTAACCCTGATTCTAAGCAAGGTGTGAAAACAATGAGAATGAGGTTATGTCCAGAATCTCGGAAAAGTGCCAGGAAATTATATGAGAGGTCTCATAAGCTTCGTAAAAATAATCATCATCTTTTTACAAGTGAGTAAAATGTCTGCTAGTCCTGGTGTGGTACTGATGGTTAATACGCCAGACTGCAAAGCTGTTTGAACTGCAAGGTCGTTGGTTCAAGGTCACCAGCTGCTCCTTGGAAAACCCTGTACAGGGTCACTATGGGTCAGAGTCAACAACACTTAACAACAACTACAACAAAATGTCTGGGCAACTAGATGTAGGCAAAATACTGTATTCTAAGTATTGAAAACTTATATTTCTTCTGCCTGGAAAACCTCCTGGTGTATCAGAAGTTGTTTGGTTGAGAATAAATATATAGGACCAAATAGAAATTTTAGTTTTGTGTCCACAAACACTATCTTTCAAAACTTTAAGTAATGGTGATTGAGCTCTAAGCAGGGTTGTTGGATGAATTCTTCTGGCTTTGGAGTACTCTAACCATAAGACTCCTTTGTTTATTTTATTTTTAGCTACAATTAATTTAAATTCAATGAATGATGGCTGGTATGGTGCACTAAAAGAAGCAATTCAACAACAGCAGAACCAGCTGGTGTGGGTTTCTGAAGGAAAGGTAAATTTTCCACTACTTTTTATCTGTTCAGTAAATTATGGTAGCTAATGAAAGATGCTTTTGATATATCATTGTTTTCTGATTGGATTACCATATTAGAGTAATTTTGGTCAGGTTAATGTTTAGGTCTGTATAATATATTTGTGAATTTGCATGTAGGGGTTGTAAAAAACTCTCTTAAAGAATTCGTCAGTTGCAGTGGAAAGAGATGGGTTGAGTTCTGACTGTCTTCTTCTAACTGAGAAATGATCATGAGTCTGGGCTTTAGTGTCTCCTTTAGTTTCCTGAAGATTAGGGGCTAAATAACTGTTTCCTAAAACACACTAGATTCTGGACTTGATGTAATAAAAAACACTTTATGAAGGCAAGTGCTTGTGGAAACTGCTGCAAACCATAGCCCTCCTGAGGGTCTCCCAGTGTCCACCAGCATCTGAAAGTCTTTAAGAACTCTTATTGGTTAAAAAGAAACAACAACCTACTTTGTTCAGCCCAGCATTTACCCAAAGTCTTAACGAGACTTTTTTTTTTTTGCACTCAGCACCTGTTAACATTCTTGCCAAGCACGTTGGGAAATGTGGAACAAAATGATAGATTCTTTCTGATATTGAATTCCGATTTTATGTACATCCACATGGCCAATCTTGAAAGGATAACTCCTTACTGATGTCAGTTTTTATGGCAGTTTTTGACAGGGAAGCACTGTTTATTTTGTTGGGAGAGCTAATACTTTTCTCAGTGTATACAGTTGAAGGAACCTTTTGTTTTTGTGTCTTTGGCCTTCTTCAGAGCAGAATTGATCAGTTGGGATTGTTTAGGGAAGATTGAGAATACCTCTTATTTTTTGTTTTTGTATTTCCTTGTTGACTTGTTTTGTATTGTGTTTGGCCCCTGCATGGCCCCTGCTTCCTCTGCCTGGCTGTGGCTGCAATGTCCTGGCTGCGCATGCTGCACGCTCAGCACTCCTGTGCCCACTGCCTCTGCACCAAGAGGTGGTGTATGCTAACATCAGAGGCAGTGTCTGCTACTCTCACCTGTGTTGATGTGTCACACTGTTTGTTCCCATCATTTCCAGTCTAGGGGGTATACTGTGCATAGGAGATCGTAAAGACCACTTTTGAATCATTGACGTGTTACTTGGGACACATAATAAGTTAATGAAGGTACAAAATCTCCACTACACCATTTTACAGCAACACATTAACCATTAGTAGTTTTCAGTCTTGCAACATTTCATAAAAAGGATTGTCATCTTCTGCTTACTACTGGGTCATACTAATCTTTTATACCACAATGCTGTTAATAGCTTTGTCAGGTAGAATGCTAATAGCTTGCACAGATGAATTTTACAAGTGAAGTTAGTCTATAAAGTATTTTCACTAAGTGTTCTGTGTACATATTTAAGTTCTTTGAAGTCCACAAATCTTAATTTTCTATAATTCCTCTTTGTGATATTATTATGTGCTTTTTTTCCTAGCTTAGCTGGTCTAATTCCCCCAGGTTTTCATGTGAGGGAAAATAAGTTATTTATTATGTAGCTAGATAAATTTTATAAATTAGAAAAGGATGTTATAGTGTAAATCAAGCTCTGTATCCCCCCCCCCCCCATTCAGTTACATGTTATCAGAATAGATTCTTAAAACTATTTCATTTCACATTGACTTTCCTCACCTACTTTAACTGTACTGCTAGGAAGAGTTCCTTTTAGCACAATCTGATGTCTTGTATGTTCCCTACTAAACCAAGAATAGTCATCTTGAGACTTTCCTAGCCTGTAGCCATATATAATTTCCTGATTCCAAGTAATGCATGGTTCTTGTTCACGTGTACATTTCACACCCACAATAAAAGCAATGAATTCCAAGTTATTCTTCCCATGGCCTTCTGTAGTTCCCTGGTTCTACCCTTCTAGACACTAGTTTTAAAAATCAGTGTAGCTAGCTAGAAGACCTTTCCTTCTGCAGTAGCCATCACAGAGTTTAGAAGCCGTGGCAATTTCAATGTGTTCAGTGTTCAGTGCTTACAGAGTTAGACAGGGACTGCTTGGAAAGCTCCATTCAGGTGACTGGACTCCCAAGAACCATGTTCCTGGCACAGACAACCTGCAACGCCATAACACCAAGCCTGCTACTGAATAGCTTCTTGCAGAGCAACAGCCTGAAATGTGTCCTTCAGCTCATGCTGAATGGAAGAGGTATTTTCTGAACTCTGGATTCCAGATCCTTCCACTTTGAGGCCAAACTGCTGGGCAGTGTTCAGGCAAGATCTTCAAGGGCCTGTTCTATGTAATCCAGGTACTAGTTCCAAATAAATGCCCAGTGACAGACAACCTGTTGCTTGCAACTTTATAGATCCCTCAAATATGTCTCCTTTTCTTTGTGGTCTCCTGTGAAAAGAGGGTCAGCATAGACTATTAGAAATAAGCGCAGCTCTTGACTACTTATAATAGAAGCATCACTGTATTTTCCTCTTTCCATCCATTGGATACTACTCTGAAAAACCCTAAAGAAGAAAATTGTTCTTAGTATAGTGGGACAACCACTGCTTAGCTGATACTTCCCATTGTGTTTATAAAAGCTTTAAGTCCAAAAATCAACTTATTTAAGTTGCTTTTGAAGTATGTACCTATTAGATCTTACTCACCTTAAACTGTGGCTTTTATTTTTATAGTTATTCTCAAATGCGCTGTTCTGTCAGTGTGTCTTTGTTTCTGTGAGCTTGGTTTGGTAGCATTCTCCCTCTTCTGGCTTTCAGCTGAGAAGCTTGTGGCTATAGTATGAAACTGAGTGGTGTTAGGTCCTTTCATTGTCTTCTGGGCCTGGACCCAGAGTCCAGCTCTGTTCTGCCAGCCAGCCCACATCTCATCCATCCAAGCCCTTCAGATCTCAAGGGATGCTCTGTGAGTCTGCATGTGTGCCTGTACAATCTTCTTGACCTTTCCTCGTCATAAATGTGATTTCTTCCAAGAAAAAATTTTCTTTTCAGTCAGCCTTGTAAAATAAAGACCATCTCTTAAGGAACTACTGAATAAAATTTTTAATTTACTTTTATTTGACCCAGGCGGATGGTGCTACAAGTGATGACCTTGATTTGCATGATGATCGTCTGTCCTACCTGTCAGCCCCAGGTAGTGAATACTCAATGTATAGCACGGACAGTAGACACACATCTGACTATGAAGACACTGATACAGAAGGCGGGGCCTACACTGATCAAGAACTAGATGAAACTCTTAATGATGAGGCTGGGACTCCACCGGAGTCTGCCATTACACGGTCCTCTGAGCCTGTAAGAGAGGACTCCTCTGGAATGCATCATGAAAACCAAACATATCCTCCTTACTCACCACAAGCGCAGCCACAACCAATTCATAGAATAGACTCCCCTGGATTTAAAACAGCCTCTCAACAGGTAAGCAGCAAGCATTCAACGTTTTGTAGTTAGAGATGAATTATTAAATTTTAGAATGCGGTGACTGAGTTAAAGAATATATTTTGTCCTTTCTTCATATTAAGAATTAACCTTGAATTTCAGTTTGAAAAAATACCAAGGGCTTAGTTTTAAACTTTATGTGCTAGTATTACACAGCAAAATATACTGAATAAAAATAAATAAATAAAAAAATTTAGGACATGAAGTCTTGTTGTACAGCACACTTAAAATGTATACCTACCACCCATTATAAATTGAAGTGGAAAGTTAGCAGTAAACAGAAACACTATATTTAAAATATTTTAAACACTTCACAGAAAGCAGAAGCCTCATCTCCAGTCCCTTACCTTTCGCCTGAAACAAACCCAGCATCATCAACCTCTGCTGTTAATCATAATGTAAATTTAAATCATGTCCAACTGGAGGAGCACACCCCAGCTCCTTCCGCCTCTTATTCACCACAAGCTGATTCTTTAAGAACACCAAGTACTGAGGCAGCTCACATAATGCTCAGGGATCAAGAGCCACCATTGTCGTCGCATGTAGATCCAGCAAAGGTACTGGTGCTGCAGTGTTGCACTGATTTGTTGCTCTCCATCTATCTAGCACATGGTCATTTTTGCTTTGCCCCTAAGTGCTACTTTGCTTTTTTTACCATGGGCGGCTTATACATTGTAATGCTTTCAAATCAGTACAAATCATTTTCGTTTTGTAATTTGCATGGCTTCAAGTGGTATATCGATTATTTGACAAGAGGCCTTTTAATTGGGAATTTATGCTTAATATTTTTATTTTATAGCTACTTTTTCTTTTCATTTTTGGTATCTTCCAGAATTCCTTAATATGTACTTGACTTCTATAAAATTCTGATGGTCATAAATTTTCTTTATGATTTTTATTTTCAGTATCAAAATCAAGTGTAATCCAACAGTTCAGTGGATTAATTTTCTAAATTTAGTAGTTAATTACCTTAAACTCATTTTTTTCGTATATGCTAAAGCATAATCCACCTATCTGCATTATAAACCTTAAGCTCTCTCCTAAGCTAGCTTTCTTTACTAATCTGGTCTCTCCTGGTAATAAATGGTAGAATATATCATTTTCTCATATTACATTCACAGGCTTATCTAATAATATAGATAAGATTTTAAAGCAAGCGCTTGTACTTACACCTATACTCTTTATTCAGGTGTTTAGAAAGGATCTGTATCCTGAGGAAATAATGAGACAGAATCAGGTTTTAAAGCAGCCAGCTGTTGGTCACCCAGGGCCAAGGCCAGAGAAAGAGCCTAATCTGAACTATGAGCCCCAGCTTCCATATGGAGAGAAACAAGCCAGCAGAGACCTCGAGCAGCCCCTGTATAGATACGACACGTCAAACTACACAGACCAGTTTTCTCGAAACTATGACCATCATCTACGATATGAAGACAGAATTTCTGCATATGAAGAACAATGGTCATATTATGATGACAAACAGCCCTACCAACCTTCTTTTGATAATCGGCCTCCTTTTGATAATCACCATTCCCGAGACCTTGATTCCAGACAGCATCCTGAAGAGTCCTCAGATCAAGGATATTTCCCACGTTTTGAAGAGCCAGCTCCTTACGACAGTAGACCACGCTATGAACAGCCACCTAGAACTTCTACCCTCCGACATGAAGAGCAGCCAACTTCTGGGTATGATGTGCATAGTAGATACAGACCAGAAACACAGCCCCATCCTTCAGCAAGTCCAAAATCTTCAGAGCCCAAGCAGTATTTTGACCAGTACCCACGAAGTTATGAGCAAGTACCAGCACAAGGATTTACCTCCAAAGCAGGTCATTATGAGTCTCTCCATGGTGCTGCACTTGTTCCTCCTCTAATACCTTCATCCCAACATAAGCCAGAAGTTTTGCCCTCCAATACCAAACCACTGCCTCCACCCCCTGTTATTTCTGAAGAAGAGGAAGATCCAGCAATGAAACCACAGTCTGTACTCACTAGAGTTAAAATGTTTGAAAACAAAAGATCTGCATCATTAGAGAGCAAAAAGGATATAAATGACACATCCAGTTTTAAGGTAATTTTATAAATATGTCTGCACTTCTGTAATGCAAAAGCACCATTATGTGAAGAATATACTCCTCAAGGTGCTTCTTAGTTTGCCCTTGCCTCCCTAAATGTAACCAGGTGTATGATTACTTGCTTTTGAGGCATGTTTGTCGTATTTTCCTGCAGCCTCCAGAAGTACCATCGAAACCTCCAGGTGCTCCCATTGTTGGTCCTAAGTCTACTCCTCAGAATCAATTCAGCGAACATGACAAAACCCTCTACAGGTGGGTCAGCTTGATGGCGCTTTAAAGACGAGTTTGGTATGCCACTGACCAAGAGTATGGCCTGATAGCCAGTAGAAAGTCACTCTATTCATTGAGGAGAGGTGTGAAAGGGAGAGAGAAATGGAATGCTTTAAATTTTCTGTAACGAAGCTTTGGTAAGCCTGCAGAAAACAAATTTTTCTAGCAAGTGTCTAAAATAAAATTGTAAGACCTAAAATTGATTTTATGTTTTTAGTTTAAAGAACGCTTTGAGCCATGTGAATGAAATCATAACTTTTAGGCATGAGAAAACATACTCAAATTGGGTAAAGTCAACCATATAGTGAGCGTGCTCCATGTGCTTGTCACTGTGCTGAGCACATCAGTACAATGAGCTGGGAACATTTCTCTGAGCTTGTAATAAAGAGGAACAGCTAGCCAGTGTGAATGACTTTCCTGGCCCTTTGATGGCCCTAAGTCTTTTCATGAAAATGGAAACTACTGTGATGTCATCTTTACCCAGTATCATTATTTGTGAGCTATTACTGTATCTGAAATAAGTTTCGGTAATAGCCAAAAGTTTAGAGCATCTCCTCCCTTTTGTTAGTACAAAACGTATTTAAAGTGATCCGTTTTTAATGGTAATGTTCTAAAATTTACTAAACAGAACGTACATAGCAATGTATGTATTTGCTTTTAATAGCTTTAGTTTCTTACCCACACTGCTTTCCTATGCCTTCTAGAACTTTAGACTACATGGAACTATTGTTTGTTCTCGTCAGGAGCACTTATTGATCCTGGCTTACTCTCCTTTGAAGTTTTTCATTTCTGTCAGTGATTACTTGTCGCTAGTGTTGCTTATATGCTCTACTACGAGGGTGAGTCAAAATTTATCTTCAGTCTTCACTGGAATTTATTTTAATCAACTTTTAGATGATACACTTTGTCCTTCTGTCAAAAAGCTTTCGTATTCCCTTATTTAAAAATATTTTAGTGTGAGCTGCTAGCATTGAATGCACCATTGTCTTCACTTCTTCATCAAGAGGTGTATCTTCGTCCTCAAGGGGCTGCATTCACGAGACCACGCAGGTGAGCATCCAATGGAGTAAGCTCAAGACTATAGGGAGGATGCTTTAACAACTCAGAACAAAGTTTTTGCTAACAAAGTTTTGTGGACAGGTGTGCAGACGTGCATTGTCATGTAAGATCACAACATCCTTGAATAGCAGTCCTCTCTGTTTAATCTGAAGTTTAGACTTTTCAGCTCTTCAGTGAGCATCTCACTGTGTAACGATCACTGTTGATTATTGAACCTTTTCCCTAGTAGTGTTCCAGTACTGGCTCTTGACAATCTCAGAAAACTGTATTAGCCTCAATTTTCCAGCTGGTTGACTATTGAACTTTTTCTTGGTTGGCGATTAAGAATGTTTCCATTCCATACTATCCTGTTTACTCTCAGGCTCGTAGTGATGACTCAGTGTCTCATCGCCAGTAACTTTTTTTTTTTTTTTTCAAAATAAACTTTTACCTTCCTTCTAGTATAGATCCCACATTTTGTTTGCAGATGTCCACGTTCACTCCTGCACAGCAGTGATCTTGAACGGACAGTGCTGATAAGACAGTGCAGCCAGCAGAAATTGTAATGTAACCAGAGTGTGGACAATTTTTGACTCGCCCTCCTAGAAGTTCTCCATTACATTCACTTCTGTTGTTCTTATTTACCACTTCTAATCTGCTGTGGAGTCCTTCATTGTTGCAAATGGTTAATGGGCTCAGCTGCTAGCTGAAAGGTTGGTGGCTCAAGCCCACCCAGAGACATCTCAGAAGAAAGATGTAGTGATGTACTTCTGAAAATTCCACCATTGAAATCCTAGGGTGTACAGTTCTGCTCTAATATACTTGGGATCACATGAGTCAGAGTTGACTCTATGAAAACTGGTTAACCGGCTCTGAGGCCTCTCACCAGATAATCATCAAGCATATTAAATTGTGTTAATGGACTTGTGAACCAGAGTGGGGCTGCCTTTTCAATTATGTATGAGGATCTGAGGTTTGGAATATCCACTTTGACTGCTGGGTGATTCAACTAGATCTTGAATAATCACAGTAAGTCAAGATAGGGTTTATATATTCCATTTTCTTTGTAAAGTTAACATCTAGAAAGTTCTGTTACCTTACTCTTTATCTGCCAGGATCCCAGAACCTCAAAAACCTCAGTTGAAGCCACCAGATGATATTGTTCGTTCAAATCATTATGATCCTGAGGAAGATGAAGAATATTATCGCAAACAGCTTTCATATTTTGACCGAAGAAGTTTTGAGAACAAGCCCTCTGCCCATATTCCTGCTGGTCATCTCTCAGAGCCTGCCAAGCCTGTGCACTCTCAGAGTCAACCAAGTTTCTCAAGTTATTCTTCCAAGTATGTTATTTCACCATATTCCAGTATAATATTTCACTAAGACTTCGTTTTTAAAGTAAGAAGCATAAAGATTTGATTGCATAAAGTGGGGTTAAACTTGTGAAGCCTGGCATGTTTTGATGGACAGTAGTGAAGGAGCTCTGGTAGCGTAGTGGTTACGAATCGGGCTGCGAACCTTAAGGTCAGTGGTCGAAACTACCAGCCGCTCCGCGGGAGAAAGATGAGGCTTTCTACTCCCGTAAAGATTTATACCCTCGGAAACCCTGTACAGGGTCGCTATGGGTCGGGACCGACTCGATGGCACTTAACAACAACAACAACAAGTGAAGTATATCAGATGAATGATTTCTCTCAACTTCTCTGAACTTAGTGGCTCAGCATTGTAAATCCTTTCTAGGTCTGGAATGTGTGTTTGTGTCTAAGCTTTAAACTTAAAAAACTTTTAAACTTAAAAAGCACACAGACTCCTGATTAGATCCTGAGGATTGTCTGTTAACTATCACTTCTCATTTACTACCCAGTAAAAATCTTTTTTAGTATAGGCTTTAAAACTTGGAATACTGAAAACCAAATTCTGAAAACCAAATTCTACTTACCACTGTTTTTCCTAAGGAGTCCTGGTGTGGCACTGTGGGCTAATGCACTGGACTGTGCAAAATCTATTTGAACTGTAAGGTTGACAGTTCAAGCTTACCAGCTGCTCCTCGGAAGCACTGTGCAGGGTCACTGTGGGTCAGAAAGCTGACTCTGCAGCACTTGACAAGAGCAGCAGCATTTTTTCTAAGGGATCACTTGAAGTGAAGACTTAGGACATTTATGTCACTGTCACCCCTTTCAGTCTTTAGTATCTCTAGAGAAAGCAGTTTATGAGAAATACAAATGGAGGCTTTGAGTGTGGTAGTCAGGATTGTGCTCGTATATGGTATCTTATGTTAGTGTTGTGGAGTCCTGGCGTGGCGCTGTGGGTCAATGCGCTGGACTGCAAAGTCAGTTTCAACTGCAGGGTCAGCACTTCAGGCTCACCAGCCACTCCTCAGAAACCCTATACAGGGTCACTGTGTGTTGGAACTGACTCAGTGGCACTTAACAACAACAATATGGTAGTGTTGTGAACTTCTCTTAACATTATGCTAGACTGGTGCCCATAGCATCTTCGGAACCACTAAGGCGAACTAGACCCAGATCCTTCGGAGCCCATCTTCATTTAGTAAGGGAGGAGGCTGTAGTCTTTAACAGTCACTTTTACTTAGGCAGCTAAACATATTCATTCCTGTCACAAGAGAGACCACAGATGTGGTTTAATGAGATGTATTTTATGTGTTGTTGTTGTGGTTAAGTGCCATTGACTTAGTTCTGACGTATAGTGACCCTGTATAGGGTTTCCAAGGAGCAGGTGATGGGTTTGAACTGCTGACCCTCATGTTTTGCAGTCCAGTGTTGATACTGCATGTGGTTAAATCTGAAAGTATTGGTACTAAATCATAGACCTTTAGTAAACCAAAATGCAGTGTGAAGCTATTATATCCAGTTAGATCTATACACTTCTGAAGGTGGTAGTTTTGCCTCTAACCTTTCCCTGAAGCATTGTGTGTGCTCTGAGATACACTGTGTAAAAATGGCAGTCTAGGCATCCTTGAGGAACTGTAATCAGGTTCCTTTGAAATGTTGAAGTTTTGGGGTCAGAAAGAGGTCTGAAGGGGCAAGGTCGGGGCCTTCTGGTGGATGGAGTAAGATTTCCCTATGAAATTTTCATAGGACAGTGCTTTCTACCCTCTGAGAGTAAGCAGCTGCATTGTCATGAGGGAAAGAATTTCTCAGCTCAACCTTACTGGCCTTTTTTTCACCAATGCAATTTTCTTAAAACATCTTGCTCTAATAAGCCCTGTTATCTGTATCCATCGAGAAAATCTATCCAAATTTTACTCCCTTTTGTTTATTTTGATTTCTTAAGTCAGTTCCAACTCAGACCCTCTATAGGATTTTCAAAGAGCAGCTGGTAGATGTGAACCACCGACTTTGAGATTAGCATCTAGTGCTTATCCTACATTATCAAAGCAGGACTCACACAACACAGTCTCCATCACCTTCTGAGCTGGCCTTTTTACCTGAAGCTAACTGACCCAGCATATTCCCTCTGAAGCTACTGTTTGATTGGACCCTCTTCTCTGGATTATGTGGGTAAATCTGAGATTCATCCCTGGTTGTGATTTATTTCATAAAATCTTCATTAGCTTTTATCTTGCTTAAAAGATTAGCTCTTTGAGCTGGCTGATCTTCATGCATTGCTCTTAACACACCCATCATCCTGACTGTGAAAACTTGACATTTGGTAAAAATTGAAAATGCTTAACCATGTGAGATCCCATCTTCAGTAGCTTTTGTGTCAGTGGTTATTCTGTGATCTTCTTCCACGAGTTCTGCACTTCCGCAAGAATTTATAAGTTGAAGTTGACAATTTTCCCTCTTTGTGAGTTTTACTGACCTTCCTTAACCTCTTGATTTATCCTAAAACTCTTATATGAGGTAATAGTCTTGTGACCTTGTTGCAAAGTTTCAATGATTCAGGAAAATATCCACTTGAGTTTTGTTAAAAAAATTTTATTAGCTGTGACTTCAAAAAGATTTTTTTTCCCTTTCATGCTACGAAAGAATCCTTGTTGTATTTGAAGGCACTCTAAGGAGACTAAGACTAGTATGTTACTGAGAGAACTTACCTATAGCTATCTACTGATCACTGAGGCATTTGTGGTATAAAGGCATTTTGTTTGGTATAAACTGGAACCCTAGTAGCAATACTTTTTGGCTTACCTTGTCATAGTTGCATAAATAAAATGCAACCCTAGAAGAATACTTTAGGTCTAAAAAGTAAGTCATAAAAAACATTTTTAGAGGAGCAAATGGAAAGCTTATTTTGTTTTATTCATTTGGTTTTCGCATAAGGAAACTTAATCACTTAAATTTTCTTTACCACTTTCTGACAGGGTCTAAAACAGTGCCCAGTGCATGATGTTGTGTCTTTTATTAGCTGAAGTCAAGTTGACCACAGACTTATGGTGGCCCCAGGTCCAGCAGGGCTGTACCATTGTGAAAGTAGATCTCCAGGCCTTTCTTCCTAATCTGTCTTAGTCTGGAAGTTCTGTTGAAACCTGTCATCATCATTGCATACATGCCTTCAGTGACATACCGGTGGTAGCTGCGCTTTTGAGATGCATGAATCAGGAATAAAACCAGATCTGCTCTATGGAATGTGGCAGTTGTGATGAACCACGAGTGCCCTTCTAGCCCTCTTATGAGTCATCATTGTTATGCGAGTGACACTCAGCACAGGAATGTGCTGGATGCATCAGGCTCTGGCCTGTCCTTTGACCTGCTGTGAAAGGAGCCATTGTTGACTGGGTACATGTTTCCCAAGGAGTGCTGTGGGAGTGAAGGCGCTCTGGTAACATAGTGGGTTACCATTTGGACTGCTAACTGCAAGGTCAAAAACAGTTTGTACTTACCAGTTGCTCTGGCTCTACAGTAGAAAAATGAGGCTTTCTGTTCCCATAAAGATTGACAATCGCAGAAACCCTATACAGGGTCTTTCTGAGTTGGAACTGACTCCATGGTACATCACCACCACCACAGTTGTTTGAGTGAGAAAAGGGTAACTTGGGAAGGACACTAATAGACATTTCTTATTTGTACGAAATTAAATCTCCATAATTATGCTGCAATTCCCCATGTAGATTTTTAATTGTTACCAAATTAAGAGAATGAGGATCATAAAAGATGACTCTCCTAGAGGGAAGTTGTTTCTACAGCAGCCTTTTCCTTTCAGTACTGTTTTACTTTCTTGTTTACGTAATACACCTTAGATGCTTAGACAGTTTAAATATGGGGCATTGTTTGTCCTTCAAAAACATTTACTGTTTGGTTGTAACCAAGAGACTGCCGTCCAGGCCTTTGTTTCCTCCAGTAAAACATAGAAAAAGCAAAATTCTCTCCTAAATAATTTTTTCTTGTGTTTGACTTTAAAACTCACCATGAAAACGGTGAGTAGAGAGGGAAGAAATCTTTGTTAGTGCAGAACAAAGCCCTCAAAAGCAAATACCATCTTGTTTTACACTTCATAAAACTGAATTCGATGTTTTCCTAGATTCTCAGAAGAACAAGAAGAGCAGCCTGTACATACGCTCTAGTCCAGACACCAATTAGACTTTGTAAAGGAAACTAGGGATTTTTTTTTTTTTCTTCTTCTTCCTTCTGTCACCAGAGTATTTAACTCTCTCAAGTTTCATGTCACCATGAGATTTCTGAGTCTCAAAGTAAATAAATGGTGGTGGTTCTTAGCCTTTCAAAGAACTAAGTGTAGGATTGATGTTATGTTTGTTTTGTGTGCGTATTATTAGGTAAGAGGGGTTGTAAGAGTCAAGCAAGGCAGCTTTGCAATAGGGCTCCACCCATTACAGGGCTTAGTTTGTGATTAGAGGTGGATAAGGTCTTACTAGAAAGGAACATATGGTAATCCTAGTCATGGTTCAGGAAGGAGCTCTGGTAGCGTAGTGGTTACGAATCGGGCTGCTAACCTCAAAGTCATAAGTTCAAAACTACCAGCTGTTCATGGGAGAAAGATGAGGCTTTCTGCTCCCATAAAGAGTTACAGACTCGGAAACCCTATACAGAGGCACTATGAGTCAGAACCAACTCCATGGCACATAACCACCACAACCACCAGTCATGTTTCAAAGGTACACATTTGCAGATTCATCATTACGCTACTTAGGAGATCAGTATAACTGTGTAGTACAGACATTAATTAGCTTTTGTATTGCTTTTTCCTGTGTCTTTAGAGATTTTCTTTTACCCAGTCCTTTTCTTATATTGGATCTTCTAACTCACTTATTTAGAATAGACTTAATATGCTTGCTTACATCTCCTTGATTTGGTTTATTATTTTTTTTTGCTCAATTTCAGTAGCTGCAGTAAAGTGGGCAGAGGTGGGAGAAGTAAATCTCAGACACATTGCTGTCCACTCAAACATCAATAAAAATCTATAGAGACTGGGCAAACAGGAAAGACAGAACATATACATTACTGTATTTTAGTTTGTTAGTAATTTCGCTGTTTAAATTAGAGTTGGTGATAGTTTCTTTTATAGACTTAATTTTGGTGAACTGGAGTATGAATTTTTGGTTGATAATTTAAAATGACTTTGAGTTCCATTTGCTGCAGATTATTTACTTAATTAGATTGATCTTTTTTTTTTCCCTCCATTTTTCTATTGCGCTTGCTTTGCCATCGCCTAGATATCTTGGCTCTTATTCTAGCTATGACTACTTGAAAAGGAACATCAAGTGGTAAGACTGGCATTGCCGTGAGGTTGTTCCATAAGGTGTCTCCCTCACTGTGTCATTGGTATTATGTGCACTTTCAGATAGTAATGTCATTTTCAGAGATTTTGCCTAAGTGCCTATGATCAAGTAAACAGCACACGATTAAAACTAATCATAAGACAATTTAATAGAAATCTCCCTTCACAGTGTACTTCACACTGATGTGAGTGTTTGTGCACATAGAACCAGTGAAGCTTTGGCTCTCTGCAGTAAGGTTCAGATGGCATCATTGCAGTTGTAGATCTATTTAAAATATTTCTTTTGTGTAAATTTTATCTATTATACACAATTGACCATTTGAAATATATATATATGTATACATACATACAATTTGAATTGAAATGAGCTTTGTAAACTAAAGCTAAAGGAATATTTTTGGTTCTATAACACTTTTTTTTAAGAAAATCTGGCAAATTAAGGGCAAATTTTAAAGTAGAAGCTGCTCAGTTTTTTATTGTTCTGGCCATTCCTTTCCTTACTGTCATGGCTGCTTTCTGACTGTAATAGCAGAGCCGAATAGTTGTGCGGCAGTGAGGCCCACAAAGCTGAGAATGGTTACTATCCAGCCCTTTACTGAGAAAGTTCGCTGGCTCCTATACCTTAGTATAAAATCAAAAGTGGATCCAAGGACGTTTTAGACCAGCATTTTCCAAAATATTTGCAGGACTTTATTAAACCTAACTTTTTTTTTTTTGGTAAGTAGTACAATTGAATATTATAAATATATCCAAAATCTTACCTACCTTTTGGTTGTCATTTTCTGGATGTTTTATAAGATATTCTTAAAGCATCTGTGCTGTCTTGACATTCCTTGTGCTGATGAATGGTTGAACTTGTTTGTATATTTTGATAGAGTAGCTACCCATCCTCTTGAAAATTGGTGAAATTTTTAAACTTTTTTTAGAAGTTTAGGGATACTTGCAGGAATGAGAACTTACTTTGTATAATGAATGCATTTTCAGGTGTCATTTTTATGCTCTTTCAACAGGGGAAAGCCTACTGAAGCTGATAATATGGATCGATCATTTGGGGAGAAACGATACGACCCAGTCCAGGTCACTCCTCCGCCACCGCCACTGCCCTCCCAGTATACTCAGCCCACCATCAGTGCTTCTCTGGCTCTTCACACGCATTCCAAGGGAGTACTTGGGGAAGGTACAGTTCAGACACTAAAACATACCACTTATAGCACAGTGTAATGCTTAGGATACGAAATCCTTATCATTATTAAGTAAGATTGTTTTTACATAAATACATACCTGAAGGCTGTAGTCTCAGGAACATTAACGAATAGTCCTTTGTTGAAAGTACTACTCCTGTCTGTCAGTTTTGCTAACATAGCTCACCTGTATGCCAATTTCAAATCTTGTAGAAATAATATCTGTTTACCAGTGTATATGGATCTAGTTACTAGAATGGTGACTTGTAAAATTATTGTTTTATTCCATCTTTACAGATGTTGTTGTTGTTGTTGTTGTTAAGTGCTATCAAGTCGGTTTCGACCCATAGCAACCCTGTTTAGGGTTTCCGAGGAGCGGCTGGTGAGCTTAAATCGCTGACCTTACAGTTTAAACTGGCCTTGTAGTCCAGTGCATTAACTCACAGTGCCACACCAGAACTCCAGAAAGCTGTATGTAGGAAAAGAATGATCTAGCAAAAGAAAGTACTTCTTTGTTCTCACTTGTTGCAGTGAATGCCATTTACCAAAAGAAGAAATAGTGTACTGAAAATGAATTTTACTTCTCTCTCCATGAGTGAGTTCTTTTTAAATTGTGAAGTATTTCATTATCCCAAAAAGTAGAAAACCTTCTAAAGTCCCCCTCTGAGCTTTGTTGATTTTCTTCTCCCCCCACACCCCTACCTTTTCTTTTGTTTTTTAAATCCTCCCACATCGGTTCCTCTGGTCATGTCACTTCCCTTCTACCCTCTCCCAGAGGTACCACCACCTTAAACTGGTATCTGTTACTTGATGTATATTTTGTATCTAAATTCTGCTACTGTATTCACAAGGGATTTTTGTTGTAACATTTACTTATAATGTCTTTACCTGGTTTTGACATCAAGCTTATGTTAGCTTCATAAAAGATAGCTGGGGCATGCTTCCTCTTCAAATTCCATTTGGATCATTTTACCTTACTGCTAACAGTACACCAGTTTCTCTTGTTTCTCATCCTTGCCAATTTGTGTCATTGTTGTTGTTAGGTGCCATAAAGAAGGTACCGACTCGTAGCAACCCTATGCACAACAGAACAGAACACTGCCCGGTCCTGAACTAACCTCACAATCCTTGCTACATTTGAGCCCATTGCTACTGCCACTCCTAATCCATCTCATTGAGGACGGCGGGGAGGTTTTACTCTTTTTCTTTGACCCTCTGCTTTACCAAACATGATAATCCTTCTCCAGGAACTAGTCCCTCCTAATAATATATCCAAAGCATGAAAGACAAATTCTGGCCATTCTGGCTGTACTTTTAACAACACAGATTGGTTTTTTTTTGTTCTTATTTTTGTTTTTGCTTTTGGCAGTCCATGGTACTTTAATATTCTCCTCCAACACCGTAACTCAAATGTATCAATTCTTCCATGTCCAACATTCACATGCATATGAGGTTATTGAATACACCATGGCTTGTTTCAGGCGTACCTTAATCCTCAAACTGACATCTTTGCTCTTGAATATTTTAAAGAAGTCTTGTGCAGCAGATTTGTCTATTGCAGTACGTCGTTTAATTTCTTGTCTGCTGCTTCCTGAGCGTTGATGGTTGATCTGAGCAAAATGAAGTCTTTTGACAACTTCAATGTTTTCTGCATTTTTATGACTGCTGTTTATTGGTGATGATTTTTTTCTTTATGTTGAGGTGCAACTCATACCAATGGCTATGGCCTTTGATCTTCATCAGTAAATATTTTAAGTCCATTTTACTTTCAGCAAGCAAGTTTGTATCATCTCCACATTGCAGGTTGTTAATGAGTCTTCCTCCAATTCTGATGCCACATTTTTCTTCATATAATCCAATTTCTCGGGTTATTTGCTCAGCATAGACTTGAATAAGTGTAGTGAAAGAATATATCCCTGGCACACACTTTTCCTAATCTTAAGCCATTCGGTGTTCCCTTGTTCTGTTGGAGCAGCTGCCCCTTGGTCTATGTGCATGTTCCTCGTGAGCACAGTTAAGTGTTCTGAAATACTCATTCTCTGCAGTGTTGTCCATAGCTTGTCGTGATCCATACATTGAAAGCCTTTGCATAGTCAATAAAGAACATTTTTCTGGTATTCTCTGCCTTCAGTTAAGATCCATCTGACGTCAGCAATTTTGGTATTATGAAAATTTTAAATTTTGTCTGTCTGCTGGTGGTGTGTTGTGGAATTGATTCCAACCCTGTAGAGTAGGGTTTCTTTACAGGAGCAGAAAGCCTCGTCTTTCTCCTGCAGAATGGCTAGTATGTTCGAACTTTAGGTTCTCAGTCCAAATTGTAACTACTGCGCTGCCAGAGCTCCTGTTTTTCTCAGTCTATTGGGTATGAAATGGTATTTCATGACCTCTGTTTTCGTTTAGCATTTTGCTAACGGATGATGAGGTTGAGTATCTTTTATGGTTACTGGGTCTTCTAGATTTCACTTCTGTTTTGCTTTTTCATTTCTTGTCCATTTTCCTATTAGGTAGTCTTTTTCTTACTGATAAATGGATGTT